TCATTACAGCTCAGTAACAACTGACCCTTACGGAGCAGCCTCTCTGAAAGTTAGCTTTGTTTGTTGCAAACTACATGCAGACACATCTCCTATCCCCTGTAGAACTCCCAGCTCCACAGTCTGCAGACACTACCTGCTCTCCTGGTTGCTCTGAAGATCTCCCGAGACAAGGATAAAGGATTAAGCACAGCACTGTCCTTTGAAAGCTTGCTACACATGGCAGTCTTTCTCCTTGTGAATCCCTGGGTGTGCTGATATACTCACACTGTCCTCCTTGCTCTCACTGCTCCCAGGCCTTGATCCTGTTCATACCGTGATGCTGAATGAATCCTCCTGAGACAGCCCAAGCCCAGCCTGACTAGAGCTAGGGGACCCCTCCCAGGCTACTGCCATCCTCTTTAGCACTGCATCTTCCACCCGACTCCCCTGGCAGCCTACCTCTCCCATATTAATGGGTTGGCCTTATCACTCTACCAATCTACCAGGGTCTACAAACCTATGATTGGTTAGACTCCCATAAACATGCAGATTAGGTCTCCATTCCCTCTGCCCACTGGCTTCTGGAAGTTTCCATGGTCCTCCAGAACCAGGTGAAGGTGCTAGAGTCCCAACCTGTTAAGCCATCAAGCTTAACCTGCAGTAAGCCAACTTTAATCACAGACTCACACAGTTACCATGAATCATACACAATAAAGGTTACCTACACTAATCCTAGAAGCACACTACAAAGTGCTACATATATAGGGGCATCAGGACCTCCTTCCTCCTGCTGGTGACCCTTCTAGTAATGTGCTCCACAATTCTATCTACTTTCCCAGGACCTGGCCACATACAGTAATTCTCCCCAGCAGCAACAACTGTATTTGTCTGCTCCATTCAGTCACAGGGCATGAGAGAATAGCCCAGTGTAATATAAAAGCCACCAGAATTGAGTTAATAATTTCATTTCATAGTTAGTCTGGTTGAAAAAAGACACATGTCCATCTAGTTAAAACCAATAAAAGGGAATAAAACAGTATACAATCCTATATACACAGTCCTATACCTACAGTTGATCCAGAGAAAGGCAACAAACCCCATTAAAGCTTGATCTAATTTGCTCCTGCAGGGGGAAAATTTCCTTCCAGATCCCGAAGAGGCAATCAGATATTCCCTGGATCAACTTTACCTATAAATATTAGTATCCAGTTATATTCTGTGTATCTAGGAAAGAATCCAGGACTTTTTTAAAACAAACTACTGAGCTGGCCAGAACCAACTCTTGAGGGAGTCTATTCCACATTTTCACAGCTCTCACTGTGAGGAAATCTTTCCATGTTTGGAGATTACATTTATTTTCCTCCAGATGTAAGGAGTGCCCCCTTGTCCTCTGTGATGACCTCAGGGTGAATAACTCTACACCAGGGGCGGACTGACAACTCATGGGGCCTCCGGGCAATAGGGGATCATGGGGCCCCTGTGTCCTTGCCCAAACTCAAAAAAGCCTATGAAAAAGGTACCAGGGGCATCTCATGGGGCCCCCTACTGACCCTGGGCCCTCGGGCAGTGCCCAAGTTTCCAAATGGTCAGTCCGCCCCTGCTCTACACCGAGTTCACTATATGAACCACTGATGTATTTATACATGGAGATCATATCCCCCCTTATGTATTATACATGGAGATCATATCCTCCCTTATGTATTATACATGGAGATCATATCCCCCCTTATGTATTATACGTGGTGATCATATCCCCCCTTATGTATTATACATGGAGATCATATCCCCCCTTATGTATTATACATGGAGATCATATCCCCCCTTATGTATTATACATGGAGATCATATCCCCCCCTTATGTATTATACGTGGAGATCATATCCCCCCTTATGTATTATACGTGGTGATCATATCCCCCCTTATGTATTATACGTGGAGATCATATCCCCCTTATGTATTATACGTGGAGATCATATCCCCCCTTATGTATTATATATGGAGATCATATCCCCCCTTATGTATTATACACGGAGATCATATCCTCCCTTATGTATTGTACATGGAGATCATATCCCCCGTTATGTATTGTACATGGAGATCATATCCCCCCTTATGTATTATACATGGAGATCATATCCCCCCTTATGTATCATACATGGAGATCATATCCACCCTTATGTATCATACATGGAGATCATATCCACCCCTTATGTATCATACATGGAGATAATATCCCCCCTTATGTATTATACATGGTGATCATATCCCCCCTTATGTATTATACATGGAGATCATATCCCCCCTTATGTATTATACATGGTGATCATATCCCCCCTTATGTATTATACATGGAGATCATATCCCCCCTTATGTATTATACATGGAGATCATATCCCACCTTATGTATTATACATGGAGATCATATCCCCCTTATGTATTATACATGGAGATCATATCCCCCCTTATGTATTATACATGGAGATCATATCCCCCCTTATGTATTATACATGGAGATCATATCTCCCCTTATGTATTATACATGGAGATCATATCACCCCTTATGTATTATACATGGAGATCATATCCCCCCTTATGTTATATTCATGGAGATCATATCTCCCCTTATGTATTATACATGGAGATCATATCCCCCTTATGTATTATACATGGTGATCATATCCCCCGTTATGTATTATACATGGTGATCATATCCCCCCTTATGTATTATACATGATGATCATATCCCCCCTTATGTATTATACATGGAGATCATATCCCCCCTTATGTATTATACATGGGGATCATATCCCCCCTTAAGTATTATACATGGAGATCATATCCCCCTTATGTATTATACATGGAGATCATATCCCCCCTTATGTATTATACATGGAGATCATATCCCCCTTATGTATTATACATGGAGATCATATCCCCTCTTATGTATTATACATGGAGATCATATCCCACCTTATGTATTATACATGGGGATCATATCCCCCCTTATGTATTATACATGGGGATCATATCCCCCCTTATGTATTATACATGGAGATCATATCCCCCCTTATGTATTATACATGGAGATCATATCCCCCTTATGTATTATACATGGAGATCATATCCTCCCTTATGTATTGTACATGGAGATCATATCCCCCCTTATGTATTGTACATGGAGATCATATACCCCCTTATGTATTATATTTGGAGATCATATCCCCCCCTTATGTATTGTACATGGAGATCATATCCTCCCTTATGTATTATACATGGAGATCATATCCCCCCCTTATGTATTATACATGGAGATCATATCCCCCCTTATGTATTATACATGGAGATCATATCCCCCTTATGTATTATACATGGAGATCATATCCCCCCTTATGTATCATACATGGAGATCATATCCCCCCTTATGTATCATACATGGAGATCATATCCCCCCTTATGTATCATACATGGAGATCATATCCACCCCTTATGTATCATACATGGAGATCATATCCACCCCTTATGTATCATACATGGAGATCATATCCCCCCTTATGTATCATACATGGTGATCATATCCCCCCTTATGTATCATACATGGAGATCATATCCCCCCTTATGTATTATACATGGAGATCATATCCCCCTTATGTATTATACATGGTGATCATATCCCCCCTTATGTATTATACACGGTGATCATATCCCCCTTATGTATTATACATGGAGATCATATCCCCCCTTATGTATTATACATGGAGATCATATCCCCCCTTATGTATTATACATGGAGATCATATCCCCCCTTATGTATTATACATGGAGATCATATCCCCCCTTATGTATTATACATGGAGATTATATCCCCCTTATGTATTATACATGGTGATCATATCCCCCGTTATGTATTATACATGGTGATCATATCCCCCCCTTATGTATTATACATGATGATCATATCCCCCCTTATGTATTATACATGGAGATCATATCCCACCTTATGTATTATACATGGGGATCATATCCCCCCTTAAGTATTATACATGGAGATCATATCCCCCTTATGTATTATACATGGAGATCATATCCCCCCTTATGTATTATACATGGTGATCATATCCCCCGTTATGTATTATACATGGAGATCATATCCCACCTTATGTATTATACATGGAGATCATATCCCACCTTATGTATTATTCATGGGGATCATATCCCCCCTTATGTATTATACATGGAGATCATATCCCCCTTATGTATTATACATGGTGATCATATCCCCCCTTCTGTATTATACATGGTGATCATATCCCCCCTTATGTATTATACATGGTGATCATATCCCCCCTTATGTATTATACATGGTGATCATATCCCCCCTTATGTATTATACATGGTGATCATATCCCCCCTTATGTATTATACATGGTGATCATATCCCACCTTATGTATTATACATGGAGATCATATCCCCCCTTATGTATTAAACATGGAGATCATATCCCCCCTTATGTATTATACATGGTGATCATATCCCCCCTTATGTATTATACATGTTGATCATATCCCCCTTATGTATTATACATGGTGATCATATCCCCCCTTATGTATTATACATGGAGATCATATCCCCCCTTAATCTCCTTGTCTCAAGAGAGAATAAATTCAGTTCCTCTAATCTTTCAAAGTGCAATTGCCAGAATTTGCATAGCATGGCTGTGAACACCCATGCGATGTGTATTAGGTGCTGGGAAAAAAAGGGTCCTGCGCCTTTTTGGTGCAGATGCTATGCAATTTGAGCCACACAAAATGTATGGCTCAAATCGCACCACACAGACATTGCATATGATTTGCACAGGAAGGCGGTGCAATTCTTTTGCGAATTTCATGTGGGGTCACACACTGCACAAGTGTGAAACAAGACAGAATGGTTTCTACTTTTTCAGCCAAATTTGGATGACACCTACCGTATATTTGTAGCACCCTCCTAGTTTAGCTCGGGGGAGTTAGACTCTAATGGCTATTGAGGAGCTGATTAGCAGCTCAGATGAGATAGTCAGAGGGGTAAAATTCTAGTCAGGACTGAGAAACTCTGCAGGCCAGCCCCTCTGGAATTCACCCCTGCTCTAAGGCTTTCGGAGGAGGGCCTTGGAGGCAGTGGGTGGATCTGAGGAGTGGTTGGCTGCACTTTTGAGGGACCTCAGCCAATCCCCAACAGGAGGCTTGGCAAGGATCTGGACTCCCTTAAAAAAGTGTTGGAGCCTGCTCAGGGGCATGAGAGTTGGGTGGAAGAAGGAGAGAGGAAGATGTGTGGTTGAGGTGGAAGGCTGCCAGGAGGCCTAGTGGGATGGGGCTTGCCTGCAAGCCTGGAGCTGGAAAGGAGGAAAACGCAGGACTCACTGGCCCTCTGAGAGAGGACCACCTATATGGCAGGGAAGGAACAGCCCAGCTGATAGGGCCTGGTAGCAGCAGCCATTCTGCAAGCGGTACAAGAAAGGATCTGAGTGAGTACACCTGCACCCTCTGGGTGGATAGGGGAAGGATCACCCTGATAGGAAACCAGATTAGCCCTCTGCTAGTGACTGTACACCTTACCTAAAAGGACAGGAGCCAGATCCCTTGCTCAGGAAGAAAATCTGCAGATTGTTGGGTGAAGAGAAGTTCATCTAGGGGGAGTACAACTGGAGCTGCTGGCTAGCACTCCAACAGAGACTGTGTCAGAGAAGAGAAGCTGTGAATAGTTCAGGACGTTGTCCTCAGATTTCAGTTCCCTTGGGCATCCTATAAACCCCTTACCCCATTCAAGTTTGATCCCCTCAATAAAATAACAGAACCAGCGCTCAAGGCCCAATTTCTTTCTATGGATGAAAGTTTGTGTGGAAAATGCTAACTGAATGGCTGTGCAGGACTATAGGGACGATCCAAATTCATCAGCAACCCCTAAGGGGGTAGTGCTACATATTGTTACATATTCCAATTAACATTGCATAACTTAAAAATATTTAAAAATAGTTGGTTACCTTTTTCAGTGCTTTATATTTGCTTAGAAATCCTTACACACCCTCTCTGTTTTGTAATGATTAGGAGGGGCTCCGTAGTGTCTTCCTTGACTGCATAAAGTATTAACACGAGATTTTAATCTGACCAATTTGTCACTAACTTTTGAATTGTGGGTGAATTAGGGTTTCATGGAGTTCAGCACCACTTCCCAATTCCACATAGTTTGGGGTTTATCAGACTTCCTTGTTATCATAGGTTTGTTTTAATGTCTGCGTGACGCAGGGAATAAAAGGGGGGTGGGGTGGTGTCTGCTTCAAACCCCTAACCTGCATTGGCGGTCAATTTTTCAAGGCATCTTTGGTCTTGTTGCGTGATGTCACGGGTTCTCTTCCTTTTCTTCTTCCTCTGGAAATGGGCAGCCCCTGAAAAGAGAATGGCACCACCAGGGGCGGACTGACCATTTGGAAACTCGGGCACTGCCCGAGGGCCCCGAGTCAGTAGGGGGCCCTATGAGATGCCCCTGGTACCTTTTTCATAGGCTTTTTTGAGTTTGGGCAAGGACATAGGGGCCCCATGATCTCCTATTGCCCGGGGGCCCCATGAGTTGTCAGTCCGCCCCTGGGCACCACATAATGAAGTAATAAAGCTCTTTGCAGCATTCCCCTGTAAACCCAGGCTGGCAAGGTGATGCATCCCCCATCTGGGCTCACAGGAAGCAGGTTACATGACACTAGATATCATTCAACCCAGAAGAGGACTGGCACTGGATTGAAGAGCAGTAAGTATGCAGTGGACAGTACCTGAGATAGGCTGAGTGTTGCAGTGAGCTGGACAATGGATAAGCTGGAATTCGACTTCCTGTCTAGCCAAGAAAGGTTCAGTACCCTCTCTTGCCCTGGTTAGCATCTATGTAATATCGTCATTCATTGACTAGCTTTTTGATCTGGGGTTTGTAGTTCATTGAAGGGAAGTAGGACCAGCAGAAAGCCATTGTCTACATGTGGTTGAAGATCCCTGAGGGTAGAGCCGAGTTCACGTGGAGGCTAGCTGCACGGTTATATAACCAGGAATATTAATACTTAAGGAATACGCAGATCAAGCCTGTCATAACATTCCCAGCAAATGGTGCAATCTGCAGTGACAGGATAAATCGCGTTCCATCATATAATGTTTACTTACAGCTCCACTGAGGATGCAATTAAAAGCAAAAGATAAAAAAAAAACAAGTTGAAGCTAAAACTGAATGGCATTGTGCAGAGACGGGCTAAACTGCAGTAAGAAAGCACTGTGATAAGTAAACTCTGGTTCATCTGGAGGAACAGATTTCGAGTTAATTTTAGATTTTACCTGAGAGTCATTTTCAGTACAACTTTCCATATTTACTTCTTCACTTTCTAGACCAGCCATTCTCAATCAGGGTTTTGTGGATACCTAGGGTTGCTCCAGAGGTAGCGAGGGGTTTCTTGAGCTGATTGACATGCGGCATGGTTAGTAACCAATGTAAGGAGCATTCTTCCCACTGACCACCAATGTAAGGAACATTCTTCCCACTGACCACCAATGTAAGGAGCATTCTTCCCACTGACCACCAATGTAAGGGGCATTCTTCCCACTGATCACCAATGTAAGGAACATTCTTCCCACTGATCACCAATGTAAGGAACATTCTTCCCACTGACCACCAATGTAAGGAACATTCTTCCCACTGACCACCAATGTAAGGAGCATTCTTCCCACTGACCACCAATGTAAGGGGCATTCTTCCCACTGATCACCAATGTAAGGGACATTCTTCCCACTGATCACCAATGTAAGGAACATTCTTCTCACTGACCACCAATGTAAGGAGCATTCTTCCCACTGACCACCAATGTAAGGAACATTCTTCCCACTGACCACCAATGTAAGGAACATTCTTCTCACTGACCACCAATGTAAGGAGCATTCTTCCCACTGATCACCAATGTAAGGAACATTCTTCTCACTGACCACCAATGTAAGGAGCATTCTTCCCACTGACCACCAATGTAAGGAACATTCTTCTCACTGACCACCAATGTAAGGAGCATTCTTCCCACTGATCACCAATGTAAGGAACATTCTTCTCACTGACCACCAATGTAAGGAGCATTCTTCCCACTGACCACCAATGTAAGGAACATTTACCAACTAACCTCCAATGATTTGGCTTTATCAGGGGATTTCTAACACCTAAAACTATTTAACCCTTTTGCTGCTAGGTCCATATGTCATACTGACCTGAAAACAGGGGGTTTTACACACACTCAATGGTTGTAGCCACCGGGAGTATGTGTATATCTGACAAGCCAAGTTTTGGCTGTCAGATGGAAGTGGTCCAGTGCTTCTGCAGGCTCTGAATTACTTCCACCCCCTGTGCATGCCCCCACCATGTATCCCAGGCTCTGCTATTCCGCTTGCGGGCTGGGAACCGCATGAAAACATTAGATATTTCACAAAAACGTAAGCTGATCATCGCACTGTGAAGAGATTTGTGGCTAATTCGGAGCACAGACGGGTTGGTGCAGATAAAGGCACATTGAGGAAGATTTCTGCCAGATCCATGCATCGGATCAAGAGAGCAGCTGCTAAAATACCATTACATAGCAGCAAACAGATATTTGAAGCTGCTGGTGCCTCTGGAGCCCCACGGACATCAAGGTGTAGAGTACTCCAGAGCAACTGTGCATAAACCTTCTATTCGGCCACCACTAACCAATGCTCACAAGCAGAAACGGCTGCATTGGGCAGAAAAATACATGAAGACTAATTTTCAAACAGTCCTGTTCACTGATGAGTGCCGTGCAACCCTGGATGGTCCAGATGGATAGAGTAGTGGATGGTTGGTGGACGGCCACCCTGTTCCAACAAGGTTGCGACGTCAGCAAGGCAGTGGTGGAGTCATGTTTTGGGCCGGAATCATGGGAACAGAGCTGGTCGGCCCCTTTAGGGGCCCTGAAGGTGTAAAGATGACCTCTGCAAAGTATGTGGAGTTTATGACTGACCACTTTCTTCCCTGGTACAGAAGGAAGAACTATGCTTTCCATAATAAAATCATCTTCATGCATGACAATGCACCATCTCATGCTGCAAAGAATACCTCTGCATCAATGGCTGCTATGGGGATAAAAGGAGAGAAAGTCATGGTGTGGCCTCCATCCTACCCTGACCTCAATCCTATTGAGAACCTTTGGAGCATCCTCAAGCAAAAGATCTATGAGGGTGGGAGGCAGTTTACATCCAAACAGCAGCTCTGGGAGGCTATTCTGACACCTTGCAAACAAATTCAAGCAGAAACTGTCCAAAAACTCACAAGTTCAATGGATGCAAGACTTGTGAAGCTGCTATCAAATAAGGGGTCCTATGTTACAATGTAACGTGACCGGTTCAAATGTTTAAAAAGTTAAAATGTTGTTAAAAGTTTGATTGAAATAGCTTTTGATTTCAGTAAATATGCTGCAAACACAACAAATGACAATTTTCAGTTCTTTACAACCTATAAAGTGTTTTGAAACTTCCTGTGCAGAATAATTTGGAACAAAAATCCTGTTATCATTAGGAGGTTTGTTCAATAAAATGTGAATTGTACTCTTATGGTTGATAACATGAGAATTATGCTGACTGTTATTTACATCAATTATTTAGGTAAATGAGAAAAATATAATTTGCATAATAATTTGGAACACGGTGTATATACATACACATACACACATACACATACCGCATGTTGAAATGCGTTTTTATTACAAAATATATGAAAAATATTTTTAACCATACATTTCAAATATACTGTATGTCTTTAAAGATACAAATCTATACAAATCTACATTTTTGGAATGCATTTACAAATATATGTAAAAATATATGTTAAACAAATGTGAAGAATATATTTAAAAAAATATATTTTTAAAAATAAGAAAGTTTCCACCGCAGTAACAGGACAAATGGGAGAACCCCAGGGGCGGACTGACAACTCATGGGGCCCCCGGGCAATAGGGGATCATGGGGCCCCTGTGTCCTTGCCCAAACTCAAAAAAGGCTATGAAAAAGGTACCAGGGGCATCTCATGGGGCCCCCTACTGACCCCGGGCCCTCGGGCAGTGCCTGAGTTTCCAAATGGTCAGTCTGCCCCTGGAGAACCCTGAATATGAAAAAGCACAACCAGCGTGCCCCTACCGGAATGGTCAGTTTTTGACCGTCGGATCCACAGACTAACCAAGTACGGCTGACACTTCGCAGGCCAAAAGCCCCCCCGACACCCGTGTGGACAGGCTAACGAGCTCACCCACTCGCAAAGCCCCAAATAAGGCAATCGCGAACACAGCCCAAAACAAGGAACACTCATAAATGGAAGAACACCCAATCCAAGATGAACAAAAAGATCCCCCAACATGGCAAAGGAAA